TAAGCGGCAGGGCGCTGTTGGTGCTATCCGGCCGGCAGACGTTGTGTAGAAAAAAGCCCAAATGATCACAAAAAGTGAGTGGCAAGTTATCTTCTTCTGCTACGTATCTTAATTCTCGTTTAAATTTGCAGGCTCTTTGTGGTGTAGTTGATGCATCTGGTTTTTAATCCGGAAAAACTTCATAACTTGGGGGAAAATTCATCCCCCCCAGCTTCAGCTGGTTAAAATTCAAGCAGTGGTCGCTGGCGGCTGCCAGAAATCCCCTGCAGTCAGCAGGGAAAGCAGCAGCACCTCCATCCCCTGGCTGCTGGGTGCTCGGGGTGCTTGGGTGCTGCAGTGTTGTCCTCTCCCTGTTGCCTATACAGGCAGCCCAAATAACGCACTCAGATAATTACTAGTAATTAAAATAATGACTAATATTTAGAAGATTGAAATTAAGGAAATTCACCCCCACCCCAAATGCCTTATATCTCCACTAGACCTAAAAACTCTTGGGAAAACGTGGTTTGTAGCGATTCCCACGGGAATGCTTGCTGGGGGCAGGTCTGCCTGCCCGGCCCGGTGGGCTCCAGTGGGCTCTGGTGGGATGCTCGGTGCCCTCTGACAGGGGGAAGGGGAAGGCATCGCCTTCAGCCCGGCAAGCCGGAGCCCCTGCCCGCCCCGCGTGTCTCGGTCTCCATCCTCGGTGCGTCCCTCCCGGAGGCATCCCCACATTTCGGGCTATCACGTAGCTGTGTCTTTGCAGCTGCAAGCTCCTTGAGGCAGGGACCTCTCCGGGTTGTTCCAGATGACGCCCATGCCTGTAGTCCTGCCTAAATCACAGCATCAGGTCGAGGCAGGGACTTGCTGAGTCCTCGGACCGAAGTAAGGCTGTGTCCCATCTGGCTGAGTCCAGGAGAGCCCGTGGATGATTTGAAGCCCGTTTTATACCTTCTGGTTCTCCGTCCCACCCATCACGAGATGTCACTGCCCGCCGAGGTGCCTGACCCTCTCTTAGACGTCCTTTAGACAAGGCTGTGCCCGCCTTGCCCCTCTCCTCCTCCTCGGTCCCGGGGGAATCGGGAGGCAGATCCTCAGGCAGAGGCAGATCCAGCCCTGGAAGCTCTCCTTCCCGCTGGTGCCCTGACAGTCTGACTGCGGAGTCAGTCCCTTCTCCAGAGCCCTTCCACTTCCTCGAAGTAATTAACGTCCAGCGGGCCAGGGAGAAAAAGCAGGGCGGAATTTCCCTCGTCCCAGCCGAAAGCCCGGCCCAGGGGGCTATTGACTGCTCCGGAAGGCTTGCTCCATGGGCCCGATTAAACTTTTTGTGCTGAAAGTTTCACCAAAACTAACACGCTTCCATGGAAATTCTGGTTTTTGTGATTTGGCATTTCCCAGGAAAAAAGTAAAGAAATAAGAATAATGTGCCAAGAATTTCCCAACTGGCTTTAATCCTGAGACACCACCATGGTCCGAACAAACGACGATAAGGATCTATGGAAACATGGGGAAACAAAGCAGCGATGTTTTTAAAGCCTCCAGAAAACCAAAAATGCAGCACGGGGGTCTCTCCAAGCACGCCGAGGAGGGAAATCCATTCCCTTTGAATCGCGGGGAGTCCTTTCTAGTTGGTTTCAAAGGAAGTCGGATGTGGGCATTAACGCGACCTTAACTCTGTCGCTGGTGCCGAGATGTATTCAAAGAT